TCCAAGCAGACAATCAGAGAATGTAAATTTCCTTCATTTACTCTCTTGTAAAAACATAGCAAGCCAAAATATTTAACACACCGCTATTCCAAATCTCTCTTTTTGCCATTTGTACATTATCATTTTGAAAGGTATGAATCATATGAATTTGTATAATGATATCTTTATACTAAGCATTTCCTAGAGACTCATTAAAAAGAACTTACTTCTAAAAGATGAATGTAGTATTAAATATATTTTTCAATCTTAGAACTGGCCATTGACATCAATAAGAACTTAAGAGAAAACTAAATTCAGAAAGTTGTGATTTCACCTAAGCTGAAGTTGATTTGTATGTAACATGAAAATAGTCTTTAAAATATGAAAGAGGAAATGTTTAATATTATAGTAATTAAATGTATGTCATAGTTACAAAGTAGTCTCCTCTATTCATTAGGATTGACCGTGGAGGTTTTTACTTGAAAACATTAAGAACTATTCTAAGTTTGTATGGAAATAATTGAATTTGAATTTGGGACACCTACATGGCTCAGGAGGTTAAGTGTCTGCCTTCAGCTCAGGTCATGATCCCAGGTTCTGGGATGGATCCCACATCAGGCTCTTAAAAAAAAAAAAAAAAAAAGGAAAGAAAAGAGTTGAATCCTCTTTGTCTTGGTTTTTCACTAAGTCCAACTGGAATTCCTCTACTTAGCTTTTTAGTGAGCTTTAGCCCAGAAATGTCTCTTTCTTTCTTTCTTTTTTTTAATAAAATCACCATTCAGATTCCCTATTAGTTACCAGTGTATCAATGTTAAATAATACACTGTGCCCCCAAAAACCTGACGTTCACAGACATCTTTTCAACTAATATTGTAAAAAAAATCTTGTTAGCTGCTCTCAAATTCCAAACACATCTCTGCTCTGTAAAACAGGCCAGGATGGGTTTAGGGGTTAAACAAAAGCCTGAGATTACTACTGTGTTCATCTCCTTTGGTTGGCAGCATAAGGCAACATAAAATGCCAACAGTCAATGATCCAAATAAATCATGGGTGAGGGAGGGCCTGGGATGGCTGCAGATCAGTTCTCCAAATTTGTTCTATTCTGACATCCTTCCTTTAAAGTTGCTTCTTTGCAGTTTTCAGAATAAGATGACACAGGTGGATGGAAAAATTCTGAAGGTATTGAAGTCAATTCGCTTAGGAAAATGATAGACAATCCTCCTGAAGACAAAATAAAGTATTTCATTGTGATATCTTGAAACATGTAATCATTCAAAAGCAATTAACTTCACTTGTTAACTTCAAGAGTAAAGGCACCTTTTATTTTCACAGTTCTAGATATTGTTAGAATTGCACACTAGTGGAAAAAAAAAGAATCGAACCCTAAAATGGGATACCAAAAGGAAATTTTGGTGGAATTAACTACTTTCATTTGGCAAATGCTCAATAAATTGCCATGAAGCTATCATAAGTGGAAGTCATTTCTAAAAGAATATTCATTTCTAAAAGATATTCCCTCTGCCCCTTTAGGATGTTAAAAGGCAGTTAGATAGCTGTCATGGTAATAGTGGACCTTTCTGAGAATGTTGATACATTTGTCAGGAGAGCCAAATTCAGGGACATATAACTGTCTGTGTGTAGTCTCTTCTAAAATAACTGGAGGAAAGAGAGAGAGGGGAAGGAAGGAAGAGAATTTCCTCCCCAGTTTTCCGTAGTCCATTTCCAAGGCTCTGAATCAAAATATCCCAACTTCGTTGAGTTCAAGTCCTGGTGGTTTGTCACTTCTTTGATGAGTTCATGTCCTGGTGGTTTGAAGGTCTGGGAGAGTAGAGGAGGCAGAGGGGATTAAATTTAGTTTTACTTTCCTACTTCAGCATGTAACCAAGACACAATCTCCTCTGATAGAGAAATACCACCTTTGTGTAAAGGACAGCTTTCCAGGTACACGAAAAAAACTGACCTTGCTCCAATCAGTGGGCTTACTGTAAAGCTTCCGACTCTTCATTTTTCTCCCCTACCTTGGATTTGGGAAGAAGCAACTCTTTTCCTCAATAAATTCAAATCGATGTTTACTGGCCCCAATTCCCTGTGTTCCTTTAAACTCCTGAGCAACCAGTAGCCTTACTTAGCTTGAGCAAGGTTTTCAAAAACTGGTTCAAGTACGGGAGATTGAGAAATGTGAAAAGAAAGCAGCCTTAGGCAACTGGCATAACATTCGCTTCATTGTCTTTGTTGGAAACGTGGGATGTCACCGCTCCTGTAATCCTCTTCAAACATAACTACCATTTTGCTGAACCTCGCTGGATGCGAAGAGGTTGTCGTTATTTTCTCCTGAATTTGTGGGAAAACCAAAGTTCCCCTGGTCCCATTGTCAAAGTCAAGTAAAAATACCAAAATGATGGGTACGGGGGATAGGAGGTACCCCCTGGAAGGTGAGCCAGGACAAGAATGGAGATGCCCAGCCCTCTCTAGGCGTGCGATCAGGCACTCACGTCCCAGCGATTTAACCACGCGGTACTGCGGGCCGCCTGCAACCACGCGGTACTGCGGGCCGCCTGCCACCACGCGGAGCCTGGGTAGCGCGGAAAGGAGTGCGCTGCGGCGAAGGACGCTCAGTCCCCCCGGAGATGCTCTAGCTGGAGGAAGCCAAAGTAGAAACTCTGTGTCCACAGATAGACAGAGGTCCTGTGCAGAAGGGGAGAGTGTGACCCTCTGTAGTCGCGCCAACTGGCCGTGATCTGTCGTGGGCGCGGCGGCTGCGTGGGCACCTCGGCTCCCGCTCAGAGCTGACTCCGGGAGCGCGGACCCGCGGAGCCTGAACCAGGTGCGGGGCAGGACGGAGCGGCCCTTCGCAGCTCCCGCGCGTCTAGGCGGCGAGGAAGACTCGGACCTACACGACCACTTCCCTCCTCCAGGAGAGCACACTGCGGCTCTTTGGATGAAGGTTCGCTCTTTAGCCTCCAGAGAAAACAAAGGCGACTCCTCCGAAACACCCTGGGCGGGAGGGTTGAGTTGGGGGCGGGAAGGGTGTTCTGCTCCACCCGTGCACCTAGATCGCCAAAGGCTCTAGGAGCCCGCCCAGCTCAGCAGGAGGCAATCTGGACCCTAAAAAGGCTTGCGTAAAACTGGATTGAGTGGTGTCTTTGTTTTGTTTTGTTTTCATTTATTTTTTTTAAAAGATTTTATTTATTTATTTGACAGAGAGAGAGATCACAAGTAGATGGAGAGGCAGGCAGAGAGAGAGAGAGAGAGAGAGAAGGAAGCAGGCTCCCTGCTGAGCAGTGAGCCTGATGCGGGACTCGATCCCAAGACCCTGAGATCATGACCTGAGCCGAAGGCAGCGGCTTAACCCACTGAGCCACCCAGGCGCCCCTGTTTTCATTTATTTTAACTTTCTTTAAAGTCGACATTGTACTTAAACTCTTCGGTCGCTTAGGACACCGCACCATTTATAAAACGAACTGAGACTTGGAGCCGTTACGCATTTATTACTCGGGCAAAACCAAAACCTCAACCTGAAAACAATTTGGCATAAATATTCACTTTTTGAAGACAAATATATCTTTAAGGGTTCATTTGTTGGCAGTTTTACATCCTGGGAATCGATGTCAGAATTTTTGTTGTTTTTAAACTGGGTAATAACTGGAGTTCGTGATGCACGCTGCCTCTTCCTTGGTTCTGGGCTCTCAGTGTTCCCAAGTTCTGCCCCCGCCGCCCTCTCAAGTCAGGCCCACCACTACTCCTGTAATGCCCTTTCCACCCCCTGATCCAGCCACACCGACAGTGTTGTCTCGATTCATCCCTAAACTTACGGGACGGAGGACTCCACTGTGAAACCCTGCTCTCCAGGGGCTGTGTTGGGAGTGGGGAGTGCTTCGGGAAGGATGAAGAGCGTCGCAGGAAGCCCTTTCGAGCCAGGAGAGCTCTCGGCAGGAAAGAGAACAGCGATGTACGTTTCACAATTGAAACGCAACGTTTCAACCGTCTAAAATAAAACATAAAATCGCAGGTCCCGTTTTACCGGTTGAAGAGGCAGCCAAAGTCCTCTCTGACTTCCTGCATTCCCTAATGACTCCTCTTTCAGTCAATAAGCCCTCGTCCCAAAAAGTTGCGGTAGCTTAAAAGGACTTCAGGCCGTGGAGACCCGGGGCTGCAAGGGATTGGGTAGGGCTTCCTGGACTCCTCGAAAGCAACTCTCACCGGGAGCCACCGGAGGCAAGGAGCGAACAGCGCCGACGGAGCGAGTTTGGGTGGAGGACTTCCAAGAGAAAGTGTCAGGATGGAACGCTAAAGAGGCAGGAGGGACCGACCCCAGTGAACGGAATTGAGGTGTGGAGGCTGGCGGCGGGCGGGCGGGCTGGGTCCGAGGAGGCGCATCAGGGCGGTCATTACCCGCTTCAGCCATTGCCATTTCCCCCGCAGAGGAAGCTCCTCCGCGCCCGGCAGGAGTCTCCCGACTCCCTTGACTTCCTGTCTGAGGTGACACGGATACCCTAGGGGATTCCTGGGGAGCGCGCTGTTCCTCCCGGCCCTCACTAGAAGCCGAGAGCAGATAATCTGCGCCACCTGGCCACCCCCGGACTCACACACTCTCAACCCTCCAGTCTGAGGCCGGGGCTCTCCCACGGGACCTTTGCCACCACGCATCAAACTTCTTTCTCCCCCCAAGTGCGAGAACCCCCACTTTCCCTCTCCTGCACTCCTCCCTCCCTCTCTGCCTTTTCTGTCTCTGTCTTGGTTTGCTTCCCTGTCCAGCTTTAGCCAGGGAATCCTGCTTCTCTCGGTGCGAAGCCTCAGGGCTCAGGCTCGGAGTTGAGCAGTTCACCGCACCCTTGACTACCAGCTCGCCGCGGGGCAGCCGGGGGAAACACGCCGGTAGCCCCTCGGGCCCAGTCCCTGGCTCCCCATTGGCCCCCCGGTCCCCGCCCCCTCCGCGGCCGGGAGTGGCGTCAGCACGCCAGTCCAGCGTGGGGTTTAAATGCCCACTAGCGGGAGCCCGGGCGCTTCCATCCCGGAGCGCGGTCTGGGTTGAAATTGCCGGGGTGGGAGGGGAGCCTGCAAGCAGGATCCCGAGCCGGTGAGCGCGCTGGCCACCGCTCCGCCGCCGATGACTCCGGAGCTCGGGTCCAGGCGCCGCCCAGGCAGCATCACTGCGTTCCACCGACCCAGAGTTGATGAAAAAACACTTAGCCGTCTTCGCAGCGGGGAGCCATGAGCTGTCTGGATGTTATGTACCAAGTCTATGGTCCTCCGCAGCCTTACTTTGCAGCCGCCTACACCCCCTACCACCAGGTAAGTGTCTCTCCCGGGGCCGGGACGTTGGAGACGGGTGGCGCGCCCCTGCTTCCTGGAGCACCGCCTGCATCCCGGGGTCCAGGGCACCTCCGCACTGGTCCGGGGCGTCCTACCAGCGGCGGGAGCCCCTGGGATGCGGTGATTGCCGGCGCTGCCACACGATAGGTTGAGCTAACCCTTAGCTTGTCCACTTGCTCTCTCGGGAAGGCAGCTAAACCCTGCTAATGCGTGCCCGGTGCTTCCGGGGAACGATCACACGAGGATCGCGCGAGCGATCTGTCGGACTCCACAGATTCTTCGGTGCGGGCGAGGGGAGATGAGAGCAAAGCTCGCGCGGGGAAAACCTAACTTTGGTCTCAAAGGTGAGAGTGACGAGAACAAAAGCAAAGACCGGTCTCTTTCTGTCTAAAATACGAAGGCCTGCGTTTTCACCCCTGCAAGTTTATCTAAGGAGTAACATTTTTCCCGTTTGAATTCTCAAGGGATCAGGTCAATTAATTCCGGAAACAGAGAATTCGTTACAAAGAGAACTGCGTGAAAGCGTGGGTTTTATAATCTTTGCGCTGCAAAGTTCTGGGGATTATTATTGGGGTGCAATTGACTTGGCGGGTGCGAGCGTCGGAGATAGTATTTCGCCTTTCTAGAGCCTGAGTGGCTGCATCAGGCTCTCCTGTCGTCCACAAACCCACCTGTAAGAAGACCCCTTTACCCCGTTTCGGCGAACTCTAGAAGTTTCGATTAATTATTTCAATTCCTCTCTTCTCCGGGCTGAGTCTGGTAGACCAGTTTTTCTTTCCGCGTCTCAGCCGGTATTGTCGAAACTGAAGACCGTAGTCCAGTAAGAGAATAAGATCACACACCCAGGGAGACTTAGGAGTCGGAAGCAGGTTCCAAAGTGAGGGCCTGACTCCTCCTGTTCAAGAGAGACTGAAATACATCCCACCCTCCCTCCAACCCTCCAAGTTTTTGCCAATTTTGACTGCGAATTCAGAATGTCCCTTCGAAAATTTCCTGATGCATTAATGATGGCAGGTGTAGGTTTTGCTTTTTGCCTTTTCTTTTTAACCCCCTGCCCCTTTTAAACTTTCCATCTAGGACTTTGTTTAGTCTCACAATGTTAATTTAGGGAATCATCAGAGTCCCTCATTATAAGCCAAGCGGGGAATGTGGTGGAACTGGCGATATTTACCACTAAGTAACTCCAGTCTTTTGGTTTCAGCGTCTGAGATGGCTCCTTCCCAGGCTGGCACTATTGCAAGGAGGAGAGATGGGTTGGTTTTCTGTTTGGTCCTTTCTCCTCCCTGACCCTGGACCAACCCAACCTATGCCATTCAGTTCTCTGCTCATTTTTGTGTGATCAGCCGGCTTCAAGACCACCTCCGCCTGCATAAATGTCTTGACCCGGCATTCAGTCTATTGCCCATTTCTAAGAAAATATTTCAGCAGCTACATTTGGTTTTTAAAATTACTACAAGACAGCCACAATTTACCAATCCTTACAGCCAAGATCTTCTTTGTTCCTTGTTATTACTTGTTTCCTCAGTGTGCCCAGAGATGGTGAGGGTCGAAATGTTCATAGTCCACTGGTTTTTTTTCTTATTCAAAAGAAGAGCTCTTTAAAAACTGAGATAGACCTTTAAGTAGACAGTTTATGGGTGACCAAACAAATTTCAGCTTGCGTTTATTCACATGATCCATATCAGAATGTTACACCACATTTTTACCCCACTAGATTCTTTTCTAAATGGAACTATCTCTGACCTCTGTAGCAGTTCTTCCTTAACATTTCTGGCTGCAATGGAGTGGATTTTGGCATTTTCGTGCTCTCTCGGGACAATGCTTAAATCCTGCATCCTGTGCATCTGTCCTGGAATCTTAGGCAGGGGACAGTCAGGCCCTAACTGTACTTGGGTGCCCTTTATCCCTGGAGCCTGATTTAAAAAAATATATCTGTCCCGAGCCTGGCTCTGTGGTTAAACTCTGCTCCTATCCTGGCATCTTCTGGGACTTTTTCCCTAACATCTTCAGAGAACTTTCCCTGTGGCCTGGCAGCAAGTCTGGGGAGATGGAGACACCAAGAAGGGCAGATGGCTGCTCAAGGAGCACAGGGCTTAGGGCCTGGATGCCACTTTTCCCCCTGGATACCTTAGGGGTCTGAGGGAGTGAAGTGGGAACCCAATTTGCCATCTCTTTTGAAATTGACCTCTGTTCTTTCTCTCTTGGAGCAGAAACTAGCCTATTACTCCAAAATGCAGGAAGCCCAAGAGTGCACCGCCAGCCCCAGCAACAGCACGGGCAGTGGCAGCTCCTCCTTTTCCAGCCAAACTCCAGCCAGTATCAAAGAGGAAGAAGGCAGCCCAGAGAAAGAGCGCCCACCCGAGGCCGAGTACATCAACTCCCGCTGCGTCCTCTTCACCTATTTCCAGGGGGACATCAGCTCTGTGGTGGACGAGCACTTCAGTAGGGCCCTGAGCCAGCCTAGCAGCTATTCCCCGAGCTGTACAAGCAACAAAGCACCCAGGAGCTCCGGGCCCTGGCGGGGTGAGTGAAAGGCCCACTTCTAAGGGCAGATACAGAGCCCTCTAGGCCTGAGCCCACCTAGGAAAGGCAGCCAAAAGAATACTAGGTGTCAGAGAGGAGGTGAGGATGGGGCTTGTGGAGAGGGTAGGTAAAAGGAAGGAAGGGGGAAAAAATCTCTCCTTTGAAGAGGCAGAGCAGAGCAGTGACCTACAAAAACCACTAGCCTTAGAACTGAGAGACCTGCATTTTCCCGAGGGCCCTGCATATCCTAGCAATATGACCTTGGGCAAGTCTTTTAACCCTTTTGAGGTCACTCTATTTATCGGTCTCCAAAATTAGAATAATACTCACCCTCTTAACTGTACCTGGAGATAGCTGTCCGGCAAATAGAAAAATGTATGTAAAAGTGCTGTGGGAATGTGAAGCTTCCAGCATTGTCCCAAGCCACGAGGAAGGTCTTCACCTACAACAACCTCCAGGGTGCTTAGCAGTTCCTGAAAATTTGCCCAGAGGAAAAAGTCCTAGATTCCACTGGAAGCAAAACCTGCTGATGAATGTCTCTTAAAACGTATGTATGTATGCTTTTTGCCAGGCTTCAGCTGCTTAGCAAAACTTGATGCAGAAAATGTCTTTCAGTAAGCAAGTAAAGTACCAAAGAAATAAAAATTTAGGTACAGCCAAAACATCTCTAAGGGTTTTCCCCAAACACATCCCCTCTTTATTGTTCTACCCTTCTCACAAAGCACTGCTTTATCTAGCCTGGGACAATGATTTATTGGTCAAGTCAACTAAAGCTCCCTTCTATTCTGAAATCTCAATCTCCTTTTAGTCCCAGGGCAAGGGTGGGGGTAACTATTTTGGGGTAAGCTTTCTCACTAAACTTAATTTTTGATGTGTTGAACTAAGATGAGAAATGAGGATTTTGTAAAAAGAAAACAAATATTACATGGGGGGTGGGTGGGAAATGACAACCCTCACCCTCCCTTTTTCTCTTAAGAGTGTCTGACAGTTTGTGCCTAAGTAAGATCCCAAATCATTAGTCTGGAATACAGAACATTCTTTTTATTCTCCAGTTGCCTAAATATTTTTAACAGGAAGACTGTTTGCTACTTAGAATGCATTTTCAACACATTTTTAATTCTCTAGTATGTGGGACAGATGCCTTCCCTAGAGGAGGTCCTGGATCAAGCCCCCGGGCATTATATATCTTTTTTTCCCTCCCTTTTCACTAAACACAATAAATTTTATCTAAATGCTGTTGTTCTCTTAAAATGCTTCCCAGTGCTAGGGGTCAACAGTGATAACTGGCCATAAGAATTATTATTATTCCTGGCGTCCACACTTCAAGGGACAAATATTACTAATTAAAACTTTAAAGATCGTCCCTTTGTGTCCCTCTGCAAATAATACAACTGCTCCTTTAATATGTCCAGTTTATTCTTTCGCTTGAGTTCTTGGAAAAAAATATTTGAAAGAAGGTTTCTAGAAAGGAGGCTAATAATAGCAAGACTTTGAAATATGTCGATGGACTTCCAGTCTATCAGAGGCCTTGGAGGGGCGCATTTTCTGGAGCTGGGGAGGCTGAAACGCGAGAGCGGGTAGTGAAATCGCTAGGCGGCTGACCAAGAGTGAGAAGAGGTATCTTTAGCTTGGGAAGAGGATGCGGGCTGGGACATGGAGGCCGCGTCTACCCCGAGGCCGCCGGGGCAGAGCAACCTGGAGTCGGAGGAAGCTCCCTGCGCCCCAAAACTGGAACTGAAGGGAGTGTCTCTCCTTTCTTCCTCTCCCAGTCTGTCCTGGGGTTTCCGCACTGGAGACGCGTCTGCAAACTCCGAGGAAGCGGTCCTCCTTCCCAAAGGGTTTCCCCTATTTTGCGGTGCCTCAACCTCGTATTCGCAGGCTGCAGCACCTCCAGAAAGGCGCCGCCCCCGAGGCTGGGCTACAGGTCCTCTCCCCGCCGCTGCTTTCCCGCCGGGTGCCCGCCCGGCGCGTTCAGCTTTCCCGCCGTGCGGGGTTGGCGCTTCCATCTCCCCCGAGGTGACGCGCTCCTCTCTTCCTTTCCTCCCCTCCGCCTCGCCGGCCTGCAGACGGCTCCTTCCCGATGAGCCAGCGCAGCTTCCCCGCCTCCTTCTGGAACAGCGCGTACCAGGCACCGGTGCCCGCGCCGCTGGGCAGCCCGCTGGCCGCCGCGCACTCGGAGCTGCCCTTCGCCGCGGCTGACCCCTACTCACCGGCCGCGCTGCACAGTCATCTGCACCAGGGCGCGGCCGAGCCCTGGCACCACGCGCATCCGCACCACGCGCATCCGCACCCGCACCACCCGTATGCGCTGGGCAGCGCTCTTGGCGCCCAGGCTGCCGCCTACCCGCGGCCCGCCGCGGTGCACGAGGTCTACGCGCCGCACTTCGACCCGCGCTATGGGCCGCTGCTGATGCCCGCAGCCTCAGGGCGCGCGGCCCGCCTCGCGCCAGCCCCGGCGCCGGCGCCCGGCAGCCCGCCCTGTGAGCTCTCCGCCAAGGGCGAGCCGACCGGCGCCGCGTGGGCCGCGCCCGGAGGACCTTTCGCCAGCCCCGCGGGGGACGTGGCCCAGGGTCTGGGACTCAGCGTGGACTCAGGTAAGCGGGAAAGGGAGCTTGGTCTCCCCGGACCCCTCCTGCCCTATGTCCGACCCTGGGCTGAGCCCCGGATCCCCCTTAGTTCTCCTTGGAGACCCCAGTGAGCTTTTGGCCCAAAGGTCTGCATGTCAGGGTTGCGCTTCAGCAGGCAGATGACCCAGTGTCGTCGGTGTGGGCAGAAAGAGAAAGAAAGACACTGCCCTAACCTGGCTAGTAGATACAATAGAGGATTTCCCCCCCCAAATTTAAATAAGCAAGCAAGCAAGCAAACAGTTAAAACGGTTCTAGCTCTGCGCTGTTCAATTCTGTAAGCGCTAGCCACACGAACCTGTTGAGCGCTTCGAATGTGGCTAGGAAGAATTGGGATGTGCTGTACACGCAAACGACACACTGGATTTCAAAACTGTACAAGGAAAAAAATGTACAATTCATCTCACTGATATTTATGTTGACTGCATGTTGGAATACTTTCGACACATTGCGTATTGAACATATTGGGTTAAATAAAATATATTACTAAGATGAATTCTCACCTGGTTCTTTTTACTTTTTTTCCAATGTGGCTGCTAGAAAATTTAGAATTATGCCTGCTGCTCCCATTGTGTTTTTATTGGACAGCGCGGATCTAGAGTACCTAGAGCTAAAAGTGTAGTTCAAAATCTTTTACAGCTCGGGGGGTGGGGGCGTATTGTGTCCTAGTGACAATTTTAAGGAAAGAAAAATGTGCTTCTGATATCAAACTAATTGCCAAGTTAAATAGGTCTCTTAAAATGTAAAAATTAAAGAGAATGTGGTTTCAATGACTATATTGAGTTTCTGGCTTAATGAGTTGAATTTGAAAAGTACATTCTTCTGCTTCCTTTATTTTTAGGGCGTAACCAAAAAATGGTTTATACTATAAACATAATCATTGGCTTGTAGTCTTGCCCACGCGCCCTTTCTTCAGGTGAAGATTTGACATTTCTGTTGGCTTGGCTTTTACTTTCATTCACACCCTTTAAGTGAATTCTGTGACATTGACAATAAAACAGTGGTGTTTGTCTTTCTCTTTCCTTAAATACCTGTGCCTTCCTGCCCCCAACCCCTTCTCTGTCCCTCTCTATTTCTCCTCTCCCTCTTTCTCTCTCTTTCTTTTGTTTTCTCTCTGTTTTCAGGTTTCCAGCGTCAGGACAAAAGCAAGGATCTGCACTGGTTTTAGACTGCCCACCTTGTTCCCTGTAGGTCTCTGCCTAGCGCCAGTTGCTGATGCTCAGAGCTGAAATCGAGTGGGTTTGTAATGGCTTCTGATCTTGGTTTGCAGCTCGTCGTTATTCCCTCTGTGGCACATCCCTCCTGAGCTGATCTGATGGCCCCGGGTTTCCCCTTCCCTTTCCCTTCTGACCAGCCACGGAGGTTCAGCATCTGGACCTCTCACTTCATGGATGAGGATGTGGGGGAAGGCAGAGACTTCAGACATCTCCACGTGTTGGGAAAACCAAAACATGCATCTTCAGAAACTTTGTCTAACTATATTCCTTCTGCGGAAAGAGCAGATCCAAAGACTCTGACTCATGTTTAATGACTTTGGGGCAAATCACTGGAAATACCTGTGGTGAACTCACTTAGGTGATATGTTGTCATAAGTTTTCTTGGAACGAGGAGGAAAAAAAGAGACTTTCTGGTGTGAATATTCTCTATGCTGATGTGAATTATGTCATTAAGTAGTGTGACCATCGCTCTCCTGATGTCTGTATCCTCACATTTAAAATGTATTTGTATTTGCATCGAAGACTGTGGTAGAGAAGTAAAAGAGGCCAATTCCTTCTTCCTCACCTCAAGGCCTCCAGCTCCCTTCGTGCCCACTCCCAGCAACACCAACTCCAGACACAAAAAGACACACTCTTTTCCTTTGGACTGTGAACATGGAAGCCTCAGCCTAAATGTGAGTGGCAAGTGGCTTATCTGGAGCCATCTGCCCAAGTCTTACTGAAATGCAGCTGTTGTAGGACAACTGTTGAAAACTCCAGAAATACATCGACCAAGGTGGCACTTCCCAGTGTTTGGCACGACAATTGCAATTGCTGGATCTATTTTATATGTGTGTGTGTGTGTGTGTGTGTGTGTGTGTGTGTGTGTGTGTGTGGATATATCATATTTTTTACGGGGAACATTTTACGCTGAAAGAAGAAACCCTTCTCTGCCTTCTCTCCCACAAATTCCATCTCTCCTTTCATCCTCCTCTGGATTGGTGTGGGGCGGGGCGGGGGGGAGCAGCAAGAAACCCGAACTGTCTCCATGAAGAAGAACCAAGAATCAACATAGGGGGAAGAAATGTCCACAGAGTCTCTAATACCTCGTATATTCCTCTCAGTCTCTGTGTTTACCATTTGGTCACTTTCGTTTTGGCACAGGGGAAGGGGTCTGTGCGTGGGCAAAGCTGAAGGTGATAAGGAAGAAGAAATGAACAGTAAAAATGTCTCTTTACTACAGGGTCGCTGTGTTATTTCATGAAAAGAAAATAAATGTCTTAGTCTTTCTTGAGTAGAATAAAATAATTTATAGTAGTACAATCTGATGTCAGTAACTAATACTACTTTATGTATATAGTGCTTCTTGTTTTTCCAAAGTGTTTGCCATTCTGTGAAAGCCTTTAACCCTTTTCCACTTGACATCAACCCTGGGAATGAGAAGTTAGGTATCCCACCTCTGTTTCACAAATGAGAAAATTGTGGCCCACAGAAGTCCAGGGCTTACCTGTCACATTTATTATTCTCCAGAAGAGAATTACTGTTGCTTCTTCCATTCTAGACTCTTAAGACAGTAGTCAGTTAAAAAGCATTTTTGAAGTATTGGTTATATTACAGTTTAATAAGGTAGGCTAAGAAAACAAACCTACTATGAGGCAAGAAAAAAGAAAGAGGAGAGAGAGAGAGAGATTGATATTTAGGAAATTAGGGGTCTGTTCTCTTAATTTTCTCTTGATGCCAAAATTGTATTCATTCACTGAAATACCTGAAAGCAATATTTTGTGTCATGTTCAAATTGCCCTTCTAGATTGTTAAAGCATAAAAATATTAGTTCAAATCTTGACCTTCATTATAACATGAGAAACAAATACAGTTTTTCTTGGATAATAGTCTTAAGAGTCGGGGACGGTAAGGGACCTAACTCGGAATATGGCTCAGTGGAGGTAGCCATCGCCTTGTTCTATCATCTAGGCAGGTGTGTAGTAGATTATGACTATTACGAGAACCTGTTACTGGTCTTGCTTCTATGGAAGGTACCCGATGATTATGCTGCATCAGATGTGACAGCACTCGTAATAACTGATGTTGATTGTTTCTCGGGCACTGGTCTGAGGGCTTCGTATGCAGGTTAACTCATTTAAGTCTCACAGCAATTCCATGTGTATTTATTATAACAATCCCCTTCTTACCCATGAGATAACCAAGGCTCTCAGGGGAGAAATAATTTGCCTAGTCCACAGCCAGTGAGTGGCAGAGCCAGGACACCAACCCAGGCCACCTGCGTGCAAAGACTGCGCTGTTACCCACCACACAGGCTGCTTGACCTCTTCTGATTCATCTTGGGAGGCTCAACTTTGGGTTTACTTTCTCCTCTACAGTAGATGAAGAAGGACTGGGAAAGAGGTAGGGCAGCCAAGGCTGACATACCATAGACCTTACGGAATCCCCAGTCTCCAAGGAACTATCATAGGACATTTTCACACCTCTTCATCAAATGATACTATCTATAGACCATTCAGTCAGATGCACATTTCCATTCTTCTCCAGGAGGGAATTATTACTGCTTCTCTTATTAATTCATTTCAGTATTTAGCAGACTTCACTGCCCTGAAGCTCTTCACACCCAACCGACCGAGTGGTGTAAGAGTTAGCCTGAGGTTTGGACACTGAAGCAATAACTAAAATTAACTCTGGACTTCTCAGTGGATTTTTTTTAATCCATGTTCCATTGGCACGGATCACTAGTATATACAAGCATAAATAAAATGCATTAAGTCCCAGCTCGCTTTGTAGAATTTGCCGCTGAGTATGCCATTGAAGAAGAAAGCACGTGGTGTGTTCTTTGCAGGACATTGTCTCCAGACAGTCCCCACTGGGAGACACTGTGCCCATGCTCCACTGTGTTAGCACTCTCAGGATCTCTGCTCAGAACCCACAGGGAGCATTTGCCCAGCCACAAGGTTCTGACTCCCGAAGCCTCTCCCCTGAGCTGCATCTGACCTGAATATCAGGTTGCAGGTGAGGAGACTCATTCACTGGAACTGGCCTTTGGGGCAGTCCTAACCAGACCATCCAGACTGCCGAGCCGGGCTCCAGCGACCTGGCACACGGGACACTCGGATGACAGCATTTCTCTCCATGTTAGACATTCCCCGAGTAGAAACGCAAGATGTCCTAGAACTGTAATGATTCTGTCTGTGTCATAAAAGCATCGGAGAGAACTTGGGTGAATTAAAAATCCTAACAGACATGCTTTAGCCCCCTCCCCCAAATTCATGCAAAATATGAATTCTCATGTCCGTCTTGTTAATACCCATGAAATGGTGCAGATTAGAGAAGACCCTGGTCGTTGATAAAAGGACATTCAAGGGAATGAAGGATGACACAGGGAAAGCCCAACATGACGTTTTCACATGTGTTCTATCTGTTTGGGGGGGCCTGAGAGAAAGATAAGCTTCTCCTCTACTCATCCCCACTGGCACTGGTGGCCTCCTCATGCAGTGTTCCCTGTGTGCTTGGCCTCAGCTGAGGGAGAGGTGATGAAAACGGGAGAGACAGCTCTCCGCCACCAAGTAATCCTTCTGCCGATTGCCTTCTGGCTGAGAACTCAGTCACCCAACTTCAGGGAACTCTATCTGTTCTACTCCTTTAGTTTAAAAGGACTTGCCATCCTGTCTCATTTCCCCTTTGAAGTTCTATTTCAATGTGTGGCAAATTCTAGCAATGATTTAAGATTGATTTGAGCCTGGATGGGAAGGAAGGCAGAGGTGGTAGATGTTAGGAGTTGAATCCCCTGAAGGGAAGCTTCTCTTGCCACTCTTTCTGTGTAAGTACTGCTCTTTCTGTGCCCTTTTTATCAGAGGAAACAACTCTTAAGA